ACCGAACACAGACAGCGACAGATAACAGAAACTGACAACGAGCTAACAGAGACGATGACCGATAACAGAAGAACAGAGACAGGGACCGATAACAGAAGAACTGACAAAAAGCTAACACAGACAAAGACAGATGACAGAAACTGACAACTAGCAAACAGAGGAGATGACCGATAACAGAAGAAGAGACTGATAACAGAAAAACTCACAACAAGCGATCAAAGACAGGGACCGATAACAGTAGAACTGAACACACAGACAGGGACAGATAACAGCAACTGACAACAAGCTAATAGAGACGATGACCGATAACAGAACAACAGAGACAGGGACCGTTAACAGAAGAACTGACAACAACCGAACAGAGACATAGACCAATAACAGAACAATAGAGACAAGATCCGATAATAGAAGAACTGAAGTACAAGAACCGAACAGTGACGACTGATAACAGAATAACAGTTACAGGGACCGATATCAGCAGAACTGACAACAAACGAAAAGAAGAACTGGCAACAAGACAACGGAGACGAGGATTCATTACAGAAAAATAGAGACGAGGACCGATAACCGAGACGGAAGACGATGACTAAAAAACGGAGACCAAGACTGATTACAGCAGAATAGATACGAGAACCGATGACAGAAGAACAGAGACGAGAAATCGGAACATCTGACAACAAAACAACTGAGACCATGACAAATTGAAAAACGAAAATCACGACCAATAACCGATAACAAAAGAACAAGCGAACAGAGACGACAACCGATAACAGAAAAACGAACTCTAAAACCCAAAAGTAGTCAGAGACAGGTGCCTTTAATTAATGTATATTTTGCATGCACACATTTAAACCCCCTCACACATACGCACGCTGTTGGAATCTGAGTAGCCACTCTATATCCTTGCATATAGTACCAGATAAAATACATGAAAGCTCTCTATATAGCAGATAAACCCTAAATATAGGTCTCATATGTTTAAATGCCTTAAAGTTTTAAGTACTATCTTTAATATTACTTCTACCGCCATCTTGGATTATTCGGCCATATTGGATTGTTTTGTGTTTTTAATTCTGTTTTGGTGTCTAATTTGTTTTAACCTAAACATGTTTTGTGACAAATTTCAGGCTCTTCCTTTTTCCTTAAAAGTTTTAATTGATATATCATTATGATAAAGAAATTTGGCGGCCATTTTAAATGGCCAATTCTAATGGTCAAGATCAAGTTTTTCAATTCGGTATCAACCTTTATCGGATACAGCATACATTAAATAGGTAAAATACACCAAGATACCACTTGTACTACAAAATGCCACTAGCATCTTAATATAGGGAGCCAAATTCTCAAAATCAGTCCTGTCTATACAGCTTAGATATTCCCGTACAGCTGAATAAACTAAAAAAAAATAGTAGACCAAATCACAGAAAGTAAAATATTTTATCGCAGAAATTTATATTTATTGAAATATATGAAATTCTTATATATCTTATTTGAAAAAAAGAATGTACAAACTATGTATGGGAAACTGAATACCGTATAGCAGAACAAGTAAAGTTGATCTTTTCTTTAAAAATAAACGGCCAAATAAACGGCCAGGATTTCAGTGAATTTAAATTATGTAGAGCTCAAAACAAAACATACCTGCTTTAACGGAAGTTGAACATGATTTAAGAGACTGTGTAAAAATTAACAATGTTGTCATTTTAGCAGGGGAGCAGTGGCCTAGTGGTAAAAGTGTCTGTCCTTCAACCCAGGGATTATACCCTACTTGGGTCACGGCCATGTTTCCTCATATGTCACCATTACTGGTTAGTTAACGGCAGTGAAAGTGATTTGCAAGTATTTGTTTCAAAAAAGGGCTCTAAATAAATATGTTTAATGAAACTATAAATAATGTCCATTATCCATTTTCAATATCAGTTTTTAAATAAATGTGTAAGCCTATATATTTAATTACATTAAATTGTACGTGTTTATGTGATTATTTGTTTTCAAAGAGGGTGACTGCATGTGCTGTAAAATGGAAGTATATGTTATACTCTTAGAATTAAATTGCCTTACAGTATTCACTGTATATTTAAAAGCAAAAATGTCATATTTTGTATAAGACAAAGTAAACAAAACAAAAAAACTAAATAATGAACAAAGCGAACATTCTCCATTTACTTATTTCATGTTTGATGGTGAATGACTCTTTCGTTAAACTGTGTTATATGGTCAATGACTCTTTGGCAGGTCATTTTGGTATTTGATTAATTATGTGACAAAACATACTGACAAGAGTCGTCCGAGAAGGGAATATCATGAATTCGTTTAATTCGATAAAATATCAAATGACATCGAGAGTATGAGAGAGGTATTATTTCACTTATGATTGAAGATAAATTTTCTAAATAGGCACACATTTTCTTTGACAAGAAAGAGAAATTATTTTCTTGTTTGTTTCAGATAAATCAACATTGCCACATGAAAATGACTGTCTTTAATTAAAAAAAATCTTTTCCAACAGCTCGACATAAAGTTTCTTTTCTTGCTTGTGATATTGCATCATTTTACAATATACACTGTAGATATGTGACGAATTTTGTAAAGCATCCTCGTTTTTTATTAAATAACATTTATGTCAGATTTGGTAATACAGTTTTCAAACAGATAACAGGCATTCCAACTGGAATTAATTGTGCACCCCTGATAGCTGATTTTGTTTATATTGCTACGATAAGGATGTTATGTTAAATATCTCTCCTCACTTCCTGCTATCCTTAACATGAACAATCCTAATTTTGATAAAAAGGTTATTTAAATACATGTATATCCAACGCTAACACTTCAGACGTTGCTACGTCCTGTTTTAAACATTTCTATCGTTAACAATACTGTAGTGATAAAAAAAATGACTTTGATTTTAATATCGTTAACTATCCTCATTTAGGTGGAGATGTACCTCATACTACATAATATATGGGGTTTCTATTTCTCACTATTATTCGATTTGATATGGCGTGCAGTAGTGTCAAGGGGTTAATGAACACAATTATTTATGGCTGGCAATTTTCTTCAACACGGCGAGCTATCTCTAGCGTAATAGTTGACAAAGTTCTACCATTGTAATTAAGTTTAAATTCTAAAATCTATTTGTAATTTAAAAACTCTTTTACGATTGGGTATAAGCAAGCCCGAGTAGGATCATGGTTCATAGTAATTTTTCTGCTGCCTTCGATAAAATATCAAACGTTTTATTAAAAAGGCTATGACCCAATTATTTTAAGACATACCACATGCTTGGTGTTCAGTTCCTTTACAGTTGGACGCAACACTTTCCTCTTGAATTCGTCTGAGGGACCAAGTAGAAGACACATTGATGGACAGTTCTTAAAAAGCCTTTTGGACTGAATTGTTTTAATTTTCGTCTTCTGTCTCGCTGAATGTGAATCATCGAGCCCTTGTTTGGGATTTCTTATTTTCTGCCTTCTTTTAAGCCATCGAGGTACTTTAAGTTATTATTTCTTATTTTACATGTCCCTCCCTTCCTTCAAGCGCCCTTTTGTGGTGCCTTCTTGGACATATATCCTTGTACTTATATACTTGTTTCTTCTGCTTCAGTAAGAAGGTCTCGTAACTCGTATCAGGTGATAATTGTTTATGTATTGATATAGTCAAAAACTAAATCTAAAGAAATCAAACACAGTTGATGCTTTTTGAGTCAAATATTCTTATTAGAAATAATAAAATGTAGCTTGTCAAAGACACATGGATATAATTATACTGGACCGGTATTTCGCCTTTTTTTCTTCTTTTTTTAAAATATTTGTTTACAGGCATCTTCCATTAATTTCAGTTATGATTATTTGTACTGAAGTTTGAAGTAGATACCTCATCTAAAAAGTAAAGAAGTTAAAATATTTCTTCAGAAAATTCCAAGTTTAAAGGGAGATTAATCTGAAAATATTGCTTCAAGAGTTATGAACCTTGTCACATAAGATGTGGTTGATGATAAGGAATGTGTATTTGAAGATTGAGGTAGATATCATAGATGTGGTTGAAGAAAAGTAATATCTTTTTGAAGTTTGAGGTAGATAACTTTAAAACTAAAGAATTTATTGTAAAAAATAACATTTTCCAAGTAAAAAAATCTAAATAAATGGGGAGATCATTCTTACAAAATTGGTGCTAGAGTTATGGACCTTGTCACATAAGATGTGGTTAATGATAAGGAAAATATAATTTAAGTATTAAATGATCCCTTAAGAAATAAAGAAGTAACAGTAAAAATAAATTTCAAGGAAAATTCTAAGTTCAAGGGGAGATAAATCTGAAAATATTGGTGCAAGAGTTATGAACATTAACACATATGATGTGGTTGATGATGACAAACATATATTTGAAGTTTGAAGTTAATACCTTAAGAAATGAAAAAGTTAAAGTTATATAAAGTTATTTATTTTACTGCACCAAAACTTTAATCTGAAATCTGGACGTCGACACTTGGGCGGTAGGACAGCTCTCCATATATTTCTTACAGTCAAGCCATAGTTATTTAACTTTCCCAGATCATGTACTTTGTATTGATTTTTGGTGTGTAAATTATGAAGCCATTGGTACGGATATAGTTGTGTAAATTATCAAGCCAATGGTACAGGTAGAACTTAAGTAAAATCAAACTTGCTGTTTTAGGTTAACAGACAGACAGACTTGCTCAGTTTTGTATTTAAGTGGCTTCTTTTTTGTTTTCTCTCCAGCTCTTTTAGCCACGTCAGAGAAAAAGAAGTCTCACAAAAGCTTACTGAATGAATAGCATCAAAGGAAATTTAATGTTACCTATTGTTCCCATAGACCCTTAAGCATCTATATATTTAAACTGATGGACAGACTGATGGTTCAATTACTGCTAGTATTTGCCTAGGGGCATAAAAACATAATTAAGAATTTGCGAAGGAAAAGCATTGCTTATAAAATATGGACTTATAATATTCCACTGTCTAAAAAAAAGAATACACAGGTGGTCAAAACATACTTTTTAATCAAACTGTTCATAATTTAAACATAAACACTAACTTGAAATTTATGATAAAAACCAAAAAGGTGTTGTACATATGTGACCTGTAATACTCAGGAATGATTTAATGTTTCTATGAACAAGTATGTTACGAATCTTCAGCAGATGATGTAGGTAATGAAACGCGCATTCTCTGTCTTATATTTGTAAAAATATTCTGCATAACAGCAATGCCAACTTTCTCCGGAGGCTTATCAGCATCGACATTTGAAAGAATATTCTTCCTGTAGTAGTAATCAACAACTGGTTTTGTCTGTTGATCATAGACCTCCATGCGTTTAGTAAGTTTTTCCTCAGTGTCATCAGAACGGCGAATCAAATCTTCACCAGTCACCTGTGCAATACAAAAAACAAAATTGTAGCTTTGCTTGCATTTTGGTAGAGTTTCAATTAGCACTCAATTAGTATGTTTGTTTTTCTGTTTTGTAACACACATTATTGAATCTTATCTTCACTGCCAATACACCAAACCAGATTTTTTCTTGACAACTAACCAGTTATAACCAATTCCTCTTCAAGTGACACACTACTTGTGATTTCTGAATCACTGCCACTAATAAGACACAAATGAACATTATAATAAGACTCAATGTCTGCAATCAATTGTCATTAAGAATTTTTGCCTCGCATGAGAATCAAACCACCAGCCCCTGTATTGTAACTGCATTGTTCTCCCTATTGAGCTATGTGTATTGTAAGCAACATTCAAGACTCTGTTAAAAAACTGGATAAAACTTGAACAATCAACAAATATACTATATATTAAAAGGTTCAGAGGAGGGAACTACACATAAAACCACCAGGCCTTTTTATATATGTTACAAACTACCAGTTTCCGTTAAGATATAACCATCTTTAGGTTATGGTTTTCAACTTCAAAAATTCAAGGATTTGGTTGTAACTGTCATGGTAATTTAAAGGTCATACCTGGAAACTCAACATGACAGTTTTGTAGAAAGTAATAATTTGTCTAAATTGGAATAAAATCTGTCTATCAATTTCAAAGTTATGGCAAATGTTAGAACAAAAGCTGTCGGTAGGACAGCACACTTGACTATTCTTCGGGCTGGATAGTAAAAGAGCCTTAATAATGCAAAAATTCAGAAAAGGGCCATTTTTTTCAAATCCATATTAGAGTTATAAGCCTTGGATATAGACCGATTATGCTCTTAAAAAAGTGTATAAAACTTTAACTTGTTTAAAAGCTAGATGTCAATGGACTTGAAAAATATTTGAGGTGGTTTGCAATCTTTAACATAAATTCTATGTTGAAAATGGTCATAGTTCTGTCAAAATGCTTGATAGAGTTACCTCCTCCTGTCTAAAGCTTGGAGGCATGATAGTAAACAAGTGTGAAAAGTTTTTAAGCCATACGCCAATGGACTTTGAAAATATTTGAGGTCGTACGCAAACTACGTAAACTCTAAGTCGAAAAAGGGACATTTTTTTGTAAAAATGCTTGATAGAGTTTACTCCTCCAGTATACAGGTTGGCAGCATGATGGTGAACAAGTGTCCAAAGTTTGAAAGCAATATGTCAATTGTCAATTATTTAAGGTGGTACCCAAACTTTAACATAAGTGGTTTCGCAGACACCAATGCTTCGGTAACTAGGATAGCTATACTTATAATTATTCAAATAGTCGAGCATAAAAATTCAGTATTATTACCATAAAGGGAAAGGGCATATAATGCTTAAGGACAAGCTTAACCTATGACGAGAAAGTATCAATAGAACACACCCAATAACAAAGTTATAGCCCATTATTACCAACTTAAAGATACATGTACATTATGACTCAGATATGCATATTTATACAATTCTTTAAACATTATAAACATGTGTTAAACAGTATTTTGATAATGGATTAAGAGCATGTTACATGTTTAAATACCAACGTAAGTAGTGCTGAACTCCCAGGAATGTATTGAAAAGGTAGAAAAATGTAAACTAAGTATTATTTTAACTTCCACAAAAAATTCTAATTCACTATAATTATAGCAATTACCAGCAAAGCAAAAGAAGCAAATAGGAATGAGTAATGTTTGGAAACTGTAACGCCATACCAAAAATGAAAAGTTTTTGAGAAATACAAATGATAGCATTTCTTAGGCATAATGGGCCTTTAAGCATATTATTTGGAACTAATCTTGAAGGTAGAGGTCATTTACCAGTCAAGGTTATATTCCTTATAATATGCTCAAGTATATGACTATTCTGAATTGTCAAGATTAAACTTTAATTCAAATTGGTGGAGTGCTTTTTGAGAAGAAGCACACACAGACTGTCAGAAATCCAGACCACCTACTATTATAACTTTTGTTGGAGGAGGTATTAAATAAAGGGAAACAACTCCAATTCTCAAGTATCTATTCTACTTTTATTCATATTTTGAGAATACTCTTTACTATGTCAACCATTTTTTTACAGCTTTTTACAGCTTTTTGTCAGGAGTTTAAAACATTCCTAAATATTTAGTAGTGTTTTATTTTCAGGAGTTTATAACCTTTGAAAAAATTAGGCAATATGGACAAGAACTTTCACTTTATTCAGTTGGTATCATATTCAAAATGTAAACATATTATTATTGTATATCATATCATCATTAAAGGGATATTTTCATACTGTACTGTCTCAAAATCAGGCAAGATGGCAAAAAGAGTTAGGGGTTTTCAACACAATTTTGAATTAAAAAACACTTATACCTGGACACTCCTATGCCAAAAAACATAAATAAAATTACAGTGACTACACACTTACATCATCTTTCATAGGAACCTTTGGTGGCTTGAAGTCTACATGGTACATTCTCCCACTAGCAGGGTGAGTTAAACGTCCACATATTCTCTTCACTAACTCACTTCTGCTCACTTTGAATTCAATAACAGACGTTAGACTTGTATTCCTTTTTTCTAACAAATTATCCAGCTGTTGAAAAAAAAAGAGATAACAATATATCCAGCTGTTTAAAAAGGAGCTTCAAATGTATTCAGCTGTTTAAAAAAGGGCTAGCAATTTATCCAGCTGTTACTCAGAAATCTAACAATTTATTCATCAGATATTCAGGAAAAGGAAACTATGGTGACCAAAAAATGGTAAAACTGTGCTGCAGTGTGTACATATGTATAAAATAAATGCATCAAAACAAAATTACTCCACCTAAAGCAAAAGTTATAAAACTTACAGCTTCAGCTTGGGCCACAGTACGGGGAAAGCCATCTAGAAGAAAACCTTTCTTGCACTCTTCTTTATTCAGGTTTGTGTCAATAAGATCAATCACAAGCTGATCAGATACCAGTTGGCCTGTAACATCAACAGATTTTGTTATAGAACACATGAAAATACTGTTTCTACAACAGCAAGCTAATAATTGATGTTAAAGGCACATTTTGCCTCAGAAATGAATAAATATTGACTTCTTTAGAAAGTTTAAATATAAGATTCACAAAGTTTCAATAATGGTTTTAGGGCATGTCAGATGCCTGTTATTTGAAGAAAATAGAGATAAATGTAAAATTATATGTCATAAAAGTATCAAAATATAAAACAAAGTAGTATTTTGACTTCTATACAAATCTACTAAATCACTATAAAAGTTAATTGCCAAAATGCAACAGAAGAAGAAAGTTCAAGTAATTGTCCAATGAGTAACTTGTTGAAAAACTTTAAAAGAATATCAAAAATAAAGTGATTTTGAGAAATAAAAATGAAAGCATTTCTGGGGCATAATGGGCCTTTAAATCTTACAATATTGGAACAATCATCACAAGCATATTCACATTACAGACAGGAACATTTGGCTCATGTGCCAACTGTTTAGTACTGTAACAAGGTTATAACAAGTAAAAATTGACTTTTCAGCAGAGTGCCAGATACAATGTAATACAATTATTCAATACTAACAACTAAGAGTTTGATTCTATTCATGTAAATAAACCATTTTCATTACAGTTATTGTTATTTTTCCTTTTCTTTGGTAAGGTTTCAGTTCACATTAACACAGTTAAAGGTCATATGATGACATTCCCGCTATATTGGTGGCAGAAGAACTTTGCATTATTTCAAGCACAAGATTGCAACATAGTAAAACCACAGAAGTTCTGTAAGCTAGCTGAATTCTGAATAGCTTTCTCACATAAAATTATCTAAGATTCCTAGCAGGCCTTGAACCCACAGAGGTGACAGGCAAATGGTTTTAAAACAATGACCATAACAACTCATCTAATTACAGTTAAAACAAAGAGATATCCCTCACAAAAGAATATGGTCTAGATTTAATTATCAGGACATTTCCTAGTTGAACAGTCTGAAATGATTTGAGCAATTGGTTCCTAATTATTCTTGCTATACAGTTTCATTGGAATCTGCCAAGTGGTTAAAGAGAAGATCTTGTTAAATGTTTTTTTCTATTTAATTTTTAAGCTCTGGCTACCATCTTTTTCAGTTAAACCTGAATCATTTACACCTTTTAAGTGAAGCACCACATAAGGTTCATTTTAGTATAATTTCAACACTAAAAGCCAAGCTACAGAGGAGAATGTCATTCAAATCTTTCTCCTTTTTTTTTTTTTAGCTCTGACAGCCATCAGAACCATTTGAGCAATTATTGTAAAAGTCTACCAAATGATCATTGCTGCAAAGTTTCATCAAAATCAATCAAGTGGTTGAAGAGATAGCAGTTAAGGTTTTTAGTACTTTCAGCTTCTGTGGTCAACTTGTTCAGCAGATTGAGCAATTTTTATAGAGGACCACCAAAGGATCATTCCTTTGGACTGAGCTGTTCAGGGTGAGATATAATATTAAAGAAAAAACTGTTAACAATGGATGCCGGACACAGGGGCATCACAGTTAGCTTAAAGGAAGCTAAAAGAAATAATACTCAGAATTTTTAGAAGCAGACACATATAATTTTATCATACTAACAAGGTGCCATAGTCACAAAATACGCCCGTTTATGAAAGCTTTAGATGGAGATGGGGGCATTATGGATAAGTGTTTATCTAGCAAGCAAGTTTTTATCCTTGGCACTGTGTTGTTAAATGAACCTTAAAAACAAATCAGTTAGGGAAGATATGCACAGGATGTGTGACCTTGACCTTGGTCGCAGGGACCTGAATTTTATGCACGGCACTCAGCCTCACAATGATGAACATTTGTGCCAAATTATATTTGAAATCCCCTCTATGCATGTAGAAGTTTTGCTCTAGACAAGCGTTTTGCTATGAGCTCTAACTGTGACCTTCACCCTTTGACCTTAGAGACTTGGTTCATGTGCAGGCACTACGTCTCATGGTGGTGAACAATTCTATAAAGTAACATTAAAATTCCTCTATGCATGTAGAAAATATGCTCCGGACAACATCTGGATATTTAATCATCTCCAGTGACCTTGACCTTTGCAAATATTAACCTAAATTAAATGTGTCACACCTGTAGTCATAATAGTTACCCATTTGTGCTACAATCCATCAATAAATGATGACTAAATGGTCCCTATACACATCTTCAAATTTTATCTGAACTTTGACCTCTATGTGTAACCTTGACTTTGGTCGAAGGGATCTGAATTTTGCGTGCGACACTCAGCCTCAACAATGGTGAACATTTGTGCCAAGTTATATTGAAATCCCCTATGAATGTAGAAGTTTTGCTCCAGACAAGCGTTTTTCAATGAGCTCTAAGTGTGACCTTGACCTTTGACCTGGGACCTGGATCATGCATGGAGCAATTCATATCATGGTGGTGAACATTTCCATAAAGTATTATAAAAATTCTTCCATACATGTAGGAGATATGCTCCGGACAAAATCTGGATATTTCACCATCTTTAGTGACCTTGACCTTGCATATATTGACCTAAAGTACATGTGTCATAGCCGTAGTCATGATAATGACCATTTGTGTTACAATCCCTTAATAAATGATGACTAAATGGTCCATATACACATCTTCATATTTTTATCTGAACTTTGACCTCTATGTGTGACCTTGACCTTGGCCGCAAGGACCTGAATCTTGCGCCCAACACTCCGCCTCACAATGGTGAACATTTGTGCCAAGTAATATTGAAATCCCTCCATACATGTAGGAGATATGCTCCGGACAAAATCTGGATATTTCATCATTTAGTGACCTTGACCTTGTATATATTGACCTAAATTATATGTATCATAGCCATAGTCTTGATAATGACCATTTGTGTTACAATCCCTCAATAAATGATGACTAAATGGTCCATATACACATCTACATGTTTTTATCTGAACTTTGACCTCTATGTGTGACCTTGACCTTGGCCGCAAGGACCTGAATCTTGCGCGCGACACTCCGCCTCACAATGGTGAACATTTGTGCCAAGTAATATTGAAATCCCTCTATACATGTGGAAGTTTTGCTCCGGACAAGCATTTTTTCAATGAACTCTAAGTGTGACCTTGACCTTTGACCTAGAGACCTGGTTCATGTGCGCGACACTGCTCCTCATAGTGGTGAACATTTCTATGAAGTTTCATTAAAATCCCTCAATACATGTAGGAGATATGCTCCGGACAAAATCTGGATATTTCATCATCTTTAGTGACCTTGACCTTGTATATATTGACCTAAATTATATGAATCACAGCCATAGTCTTGATAATGACCATTTATGTTACAATCCCTCAATAAATGATGACTAAATGGTCCATATACACATCTTCATATTTTTTATCTGAACTTTCACCTCTATGTGTGACCTTGACCTTGGCCGCAAGGACCTGAATTTTGCGCGCGACACTCCGCCTCACAATGGTGAACATTTGTGCCAAGTAATATTGAAATCCCTCTATACATGTGGAAGTTTTGCTCCGGACAAGCATTTTTCAATGAGCTCTAAGTGTGACCTTGACCTTTGACCTAGAGACCTGGTTCATGTGCACGACACTGCTCCTCATAGTGGTGAACATTTCTATGAAGTTTCATTAAAATCCCTCCATACATGTAGGAGATATGCTCCGGACAAAATTGGACGCCGCCCGCCCGACCGCCTGCCCGCCAGGGGCGTTCCCATAATATGTCACGTTTTTCAAACGGGCGTATAAAAAGGTTAACCAGGGGAAAAAATCTTAGTAAACATATAGGACACTACTTTGTAAAACATGATTTAAAGATAATCTGCCCTAATGAAATCACTGACTTCTAACTCCACATAATTTCCGAATCAGTGGTAAGAGAAAAATTACTTTTGGACTGAAAAGAATCAAATTTCAACTTGCCAATGCATGTAACCTTAAAGCCCTAGATTACAAGGATCTGATGCTTTTAATATGAATGTGTTAAATATGTGTACATTTATTTGGCTAAATCACAGTCATCAAATTTAGCACTGGTCAGTAGCCCCATGGCCATTAAAAATAAGTTCGGGTCAGTGAAAAATTTTCAGAAAATTTAGTTAAATATATAGTAAATAAATTCAAGACTGTACAATGTAATTAGAATGACACATTTTGTTTTGTACAAACTTTCAAACTCAATATTTAAACTGAAAGATTTGCAAAAGACATTAAGAAATATACTTAGAAATAATTTAACAAGAGCATCGCTAGGCTGAGCATTATATGCCCGAAAGTGATTTTTTTTTAAAATTAAGATGAAGCATTTGTAAGACATGGGAATTAAATAAAGTATTACCTCCTTCAAATAACAATCCTCCTTTGAAGTTTCAATATTGTGGTCCAAATGGAACTTTAGTTATGCCCCGGAAACTGTTTTCAGTTCTAAGGTAATAGTGATCTTTGACCTTGTGACCCCAAAATCAATAGGGGTCTTTTACCCAATATGGACAATCATACTATGAAGTTTAAACACAGTGGGCTAAATGAATCTTAAGTTATGTTCCGAAAACTGTTTTCAGGTTACAGTGACCTTGACCTTTACAGGGGGTTTAACATAATATGCCCGAAATTTTTTCGGGCATATAAAAATTGATAATCGTATTTTTGTGCCATTCTTTGCCCGATTTTGGGTCATTTTTTCACATTTAGAATAAATATTCTGGAAAAAAGATGAGTGAGCAAATGATCTGAAATTTGTGCATTGTAAGTTAACAGTCTAGACCTATATCAATGGGATATTAATCTGGAAAAAAATTTCAAGTCCTGTCATGTAAAAAAAAAAAGCTCAGTGATGTCCCTTTATTCTTTAAACACATTCAGAATTAATTAAATGGGACTGAGTGAAATTATGTAAGACTTTCATAAGAAAAATATGAAACAATTTCAATAGCTAAATTTTTTTAGGAACAATGTAGTTCCTGCAGTTGATGAAGTTATAAGTGTCGAACTTAGTCATTGACCTTAATTCATAGACACAGTCACATAAAATGATATCTAAATAAAGGCAACGTTTAAAAAAATAGTCAATCAAATGCTTTTCAGGACAGTTTGAATGTATGCATCATTAACTGTCACAAATTCCCAAATCCAAGCATTCTATTAGTAAAAGTAGGGCAAAACCTTACAATCATTAAATAGCCATATTCATTTGAGTGATATTGATTGGCACTGTAAAGTTTATAATAGTAATGTAATTGATGATGCAAGAATCCATTAACTCACTGACCTTTCTAAAGCTAGAATAACCCACTTACAAGATAGACATCATGACCCCTTGCAGGAATTAAATCTTAATGCTGTAACTATGAAACTAATTCAAGTCAGCAAACATAATAAGTTTCATGAAGTCCCATCTAGCAATAATTAAGAATATCACCTCACAAAAATAATAAAGCAAGAATTACCGTACCAGCATCCATAATTTTTTTTAGATTGGTACCAAGCTGTGAGCCAGATGAAACCTCTGCTCTGAGCATATCACCTGCAATAAAACAAGAGCTGTCAGTAGGACAGGGTGCTTTACTATTCTCAGTGCTTAACAGTAAAAAACAAGAGTATTTTTCAATAGAAAAAGGAACATAATTCTGTCAAAATCCATGTATAGAGTTATGGGCCTTAGATAGTGATCTTATCGTATGTTCTTAAATAAGTTTTCAATCCATTTCGTTTGATAATACCAACTTTCTAACAAAAACTTTACCATAGTGTGATGTCGACATCTGGACGAGTACAATAGCTCTACCTGTTCTTCAAACAGTCTAGCTTATAAACTACACACTTATCAAAGTGTTTGAATCACCTTGAGTGATTTATTTTTCCATTTTACAGAAATTAATGCAGTTTTTATGAAGTCCTCAGAATATATAGGAGGTACAATGAATTCTAAATGCCTAGTAACCTATTTTATTCCCTCTCAATAATGCAAAGTGAAGCCTTAATCAAATTTTATTGCATTATGTAGAATCTTAGGCAAGTGGTTCTTTTTTTCCAAATGCTACATCATCTTTAATATATACATTCAGAGCATTAAAAACTTATATCAAACTTTAAAGCTTTCTCTCTCCCTGTTTTGAGGATAGCACAATACCTGTAGTCTAAAGGAGGATTTTTCCGGCAGTTTTCGCTCATGGGGAAATTTCAAACACTTTTTGCTGCACAAACATGTCCGTACAGTAGTGAGAATAGTAATTATGCATGTTTTTTATGAATTTCCTCTACGGAAAA